TCGATTTGCGATAGCATCCCGAAAATTTCGGGAATTTCGGTTTGGGAAATTTTTGGTTTGGGATCGGGATTTTTTCGGTTCGGTTTGGGATTTTCGGGAATTTTTCCACCCCTAATAGTGTGTGACTTACACCGTGAGGTTTTTTATTAATTTGTGCTTCTTTTTTCTTCAAATTTTTTGTTCGCTTTTTGCTCATTTATCGGCGACACTCTAATTCTTGGATTAAAACTTCAATTTAAGTTTTGATTCAGAAATAATTTTCCTGCTCCAAATAGGTTAAATTTTAGTTCAAAATTATTAAAAATTTAATTTAGACTTTTTTTTAAATAATTTTAAAAAAAAATTATGTACACTATCTAAACTTAATTTTATAGACGTTTTAATCTAAAAATATTTAGAATCCGATAAATATTGAAAAATCATCAAACCTGACACTTATTAACTACATAAAATTAATTAGTAAATCATAATTACTAATTACTAAACCATAACCTTTAGCTCTAGCAAATATTTTATGCGGGAATTAACGAAAATGTTCACTTGATGTGATTTTATCCTTTATTAAGCCCCGAAACTATTTCTCGTTAATTTTTTGAAGTTGAAAAATAGAAAGGAAAAAGAAAAAAAAAACTAACTGTGGGGTCTCGCAAAGAGATATGTAGGTGTCCAAAATCTTGGGAATGTGCTAAATTAATTTTAAGAAACATACGGTGCGAGTAAAATAACTATAACTTTGGCTTATAAGTTTATAACGAATATTGTAAAAGTTCTCAACATCGATTAGAGAACTATGGGTTGTAAATCACACTTTTTGTGAAAATTTGAAATTTTTAGCTTTAGGAAATATTTGCGTCGGAGTTAAAGAAAATATTGGAAGACCTTTGGACGTGATACCGTTTATTAGGTCCTGAAACTATTTTTTTATTGATTTTTTCAAGTTGAAAATATGAGAGTATCTTTAAATTTAGGTTTTAAATCATTAATTTCAAGTGTTTAAATATTAATTATAATAGATTTAGCATGGGATAATATATTTTGAAGAATATGAAATTTCAAGTGCTAGCGATTGTAACTGAGTGCAATCGCTAGCACGATAGCAACTCCCTTCAAGGAGGATCGGGATCAAAGTATCGATCGTAACATTTTTCCCCCCGCCTTTTTCTTTTTCTTTTTCCATTGAATTTCTTCTTCTTAGTGCGTTACTTTTGTGACATCCCATATCGGTTAGGGGAGTGATTCTTAAATGTATATTCCCATCCCTACCTAGCATGAGGCCTTTTGGGAGCTCACTGGCTTTGGGTTCCATCGGAACTCCGAAGTTAAGCGAGAAGGGGGCTAGATGGGTGACCCATAAGGAAGTTCTCGTGTGAGTTCCCAAAAACAAAACCGTGAGGGCGTGGTTGGGGCCCAAAGTGGACAATATCGTGCTACGGTGATGGAGTCGAGCCCGGGTTGTGGTGGGGGCCTGGGTCGGGATGTGACAACTTCATTTAGATTCAAATACCTTTTATATTTGTATCCTTATTTTCAAATTTTTTGACATGGATTATAAGAAAATTTTCACCAAAAATACATTTTGTAGAATATCAATATGATAGTTTCGTGTTGTGGTATGGGCAAGACGAAAATTTAACAAAAAAAAAAAAAAAAAAAAGGAAAACTAATGAAAATGGCTTGAAAACTTTGAGTTTTAATGATAAAGACAAAATAAAGGGTAAAGTGAATAGTACCATGATTGATTTTTTAGTGTAAAAATGTGGTTTTTCGTTAAAGTGAACAGTACCGCGGACTTTTCGTTAAAACTCCCAAAAATAAAACTTTAAATAAATAAAATTAAAAGTTTAGACGTAGTCCAAACGTATGCCCGCTAGAAAGTTCAAGCCACATTAGAAGCAGTGAAGGGCCATGAGGTTTAGTGTTTAGGGGCACATGAATAGTAACACCCTGAGTTCAAGTGTTTAGGGGCGTGTTAATTTTATAGATGTTTTAATCTAAAAATATTTAGATTCCGATAAATATTGAAAAATCACTAAACCTGACACTTATTAACTACATAAAATTAATTAGTAAATTATTAAACCATAAACTTTAGCTCTAGCAAATATTTTACGCGGGAATTAACGAAAATGTTCACTTGATGTGATTTTATCCTTTATTAAGCCCAGAAACTATTTCTCATTAATTTTTTGAAGTTGAAAAATAGAAAGGAAAAAAAAAAAAAACTAACAGTGGGGTCTCCCAAAGAGATTTGTAGGTGTCCAAAATCTTGGGAATGTGCTAAATTAATTTTAGGAAACATGTGGTGCGAGTAAAATAACTATAACTTTGGCTTATAAGTTTATAACGGATATTGTAAAAGTTCTCAACATCGATTAGAGAACTATGGGTTGTAAATCACAGTTTTTGTGAAAATTTGAAATTTTTAGCTTTATGAAATATTTGCGTCGGAGTTAAAGAAAATATTGGAAGACCTTTGGACGTGATAACGTTTATTAGGTCCCGAAACTATTTTTTTTATTGATTTTTTCAAGTTGAAAATATGAGAGTATCTTTAAATTTAGGTTTTAAATCATTAATTTCAAGTGTTTAAATATTAATTATAATAGATTTAGCATGGGATAATATATTTTGAATAACATGAATATGATAATTTCTAGTTATGGTAAGATAAATAAAATGAAATAAAATAAATAAAAAGAAAAAAATTGAAAATAGGGGGATCGGTATGAAAATAGCGACTTTAATTGATTAAAATTGCTAGAATGGTAGCGATTGTAAGCCAATAAAATCGCTAGAACTATAGCAACTCCCTTCATGGAGGATCGGGAACAAAGTATCGATCGTAACATTTTTCCCCCCACCTTTTTCTTTTTCTTTTTCCATTGAATTTCTTTTTCTTTTCCCATTGAATTTATTTTTCTTAGTGCGTTACTTTATTTAGATTCAAATACCTTTTATATTTGTATCCTTATTTTCAGATTTTTTTTTACATGGATTAGAAGAAAATTTTCACCAAAAATACATTTTGTAGAACATCAAGATGATAGTTTTGTGTTGTGATATGGGCAAGACGAAAATTTAACAAAAATAAAAAAAATAAGAGGAAAACTAATGAAAATGGCTTAAAAACTTTGAGTTTTAATGATAAAGACAAAATAAAGGGTAAAGTGAATAGTACCATGATTGATTTTTTAGTGTAAAAATGTGATTTTTCGTTAAAGTGAACAGTACCGCGAACTTTTCGTTAAAACTCCCAAAAAATAAAAATTTAAATAAATAAAATTAATGGTTTAGATGTAGTCCAAACTCACGCCTAAGTCCAAACACATGCCCACTAAAAAGTTCAAGCTGCAGTAGCAATCAAGGCCCATGAGGTTTAGTGTTTAGGGGCATGTGAATAATAACACCCTAAGTTCAAGTGTTTAGGGGCGTGTTAATTTTATAGATGTTTTAATCTAAAAATATTTATATTCTGATAAATATTGAAAAATCACTAAACCTAACACTTATTAACTACATAAAATTAATTAGTAAATCATAATTACTAATTATTAAACCATAACCTTTAGCTCTAGCAAATATTTTATGTGGGAATTAACAAAATGTCCCTTGATGTGATTTTATCCTTTATTAAGCCCCGAAACTATTTCTCGTTAATTTTTTGAAGTTGAAAAATAGAAAGGAAAAAAAAAAAAACTAATAGTGGGGTCTCCCAAAGAGATTTGTAGGTGTCCAAAATCTTGGGAATGTGCTAAATTAATTTTAGGAAACATGTGGTGCGAGTAAAATGACTATAACTTTGGCTTATAAGTTTATAACGAATATTGTAAAAGTTCTCAACATCGATTAGAGAACTATGGGTTGTAAATCACAGTTTTTGTGAAAATTTGAAATTTTTAGCTTTAGAAAATATTTGCGTCGGAGTTAAAGAAAATATTGGAAGACCTTTGGATGTGATACTGTTTATTAGGTCCTGAAACTATTTTTTTATTGATTTTTTCAAGTTGAAAATATGAGAGTATCTTTAAATTTAGGTTTTAAATCATTAATTTCAAGTGTTTAAATATTAATTATAATAGATTTAGCATGGGATAATATATTTTGAAGAACATGAATATGATAATTTGTAGTTATAGTAAGATAAATAAAATAAAATAAAATAAATAAAAGAAAAAAATTGAAAAGAGGGGGATCGGTACGAAGCTAGCGACTTTAATTGAGTACAATTGCTAGTGTTATAGCGATTGTAATTTGATACAATCGCTAGTACTATAGCAACTCTCTTCAGGAAGGATCGGGATCAAAGTATCGATCATAACATTTTTCTCCCCGCCTTTTTCTTTTTCTTTTTCTTTTTCCATTGAATTTCTTTTTCTTAGTGCGTTATTTTATTTAGATTCAAATACCTTTTATATTTGTATCCTTATTTTCAAATTTTTTTTGACATGGATTAGAAGAAAATTTTCACCAAAAATACATTTTGTAGAACATCAAGATGATAGTTTTGTGTTGTGGTATGGGCAAGACGAAAATTTAACAAAAATAAAAAAAAATAAGAAGAAAACTAATGAAAATGGCTTAAAAACTTTGAAAAGAATTCTAATATTTCCTTTTTTTTTAATTGAAAAGAAATTATTATCTTTCTACTAAATAAAAATTAAATTAACCAATAGTGTGCTAATTACAATACGCCGCTACGGCGCTTTTCTGCTGACAAGCAACCTAAAAACGACCCTAAAAAGCATTCTAGTCCTCGACCAACAAGCCCATCTAATCTCACCGTCAATCGTAAACCCTCAAATCTCACCCTCTCCACAGCCGGTCGATTCCTTCGGCAATTAGCCCACACGGACGGCCTGGATTAAAAACCAAGCGACCGTCACAACAAAAACCTAACAGCCCGTACATTTAGCATCCTCGCTGACGTTACCAGTTCTCCTCCTTAATCAGTCCACCAAGAAAAAAACGGGGTGTCGCAAATAAAAGCCAAACGATAGAGAGAGAAGATTTTGTAATGTCGTTTTGGGAGATTTAGAGAGAGAGAGAGAGAGAGAGAGAGAGAAAACGAGGGGAGTGAGAGACTGTGAGGGTTTTGGTTTTCTGTTTGGCTGATCGGAAAATCTCTAGCCGCAAAGAAAGTTTTTCCTGGGAATTTTTTTTCTCCGATTATATTTTTTAGGAGAGAGAGGGATGGGGAGCGAGACGAAGAATGGAGTGGCGGCAGCGGCGGCGCAGTTTCCGCCGATGACGAAGAAGATTATACAGAGCCTGAAGGAGATTGTTAACTGTCCGGAGCCTGAGATCTACTCGGTACTTAAAGAGTGCAATATGGACCCGAACGACGCCGTTCAGCGCCTGCTCTCTTTAGGTTTTTATGCTGCGCCATCACCTTTTTATTTCTCAGTCCTATTTACTTATTATAAATCAAATTTGGATGTTTTAGGTTTGAGGAAAGAATGAAAAATGTAGGCTTTATTTAGTAATTTTTTGTTTGGATGCCAAGAAACCGTAGGAGGAGATAAACCAAATTTAAAGTTATGAATGTTGTGAAATTTTGGGTTTATTGCCGGGAAAATTAGAAGTTTGATTTTTTGTTTCCGGGAAAATTTAGAAGATTTGATTTTTCCGGAGCAAATTGGTTGCATAGGGTTGACTAACCTTGCTTGTTTTGATTTTTAACCAAAATTTTAAACAAATTTATAATGGCATTGTTAGACGTTTCGGTTTACATTTTTCTTCATCCAAGCAATGCATTAGGATGATCTAATTTGTATTGTACTACTCACTGGCTGATGGCTAAGAGTGCTGATATGTAGACCCTAACGGTTGTTTCGATTTTTTTAGTTTAGAGATGATAGAAGATAACAATTTTTATTTCAAATACTGAAATTTATTATGCATTGCATTTTCGATGGCGATTTAAAGAAATTATAGGCAGTTGCTTATTCAATATTGATTTAGTAAGGTGGCCATAGCTATCCGCATTATACACACACATACACACACACACACACACACACACACATATATATATATATGCTAATATGATTGTTATATAAGATGTCTTATTTTCTGTTTCTCTTTAGTGTTTTGCATTTAAGTTTTGTTTAATCGATGGAATTTTCTTCCGCTATCTAATAATCTCTTTGAGTCATCTTTGATTTAGTATTCTCCAAATGTGTAGATACTTTTCACGAAGTCAAGAGCAAACGTGAAAGAAGGAAAGAGGTTCCCTTGCTAAAACGCGCTCCCTTTTTTCGGTGGTTACATCATTTATTTATTTTTGTACTTTATATTTTATCTTGTTATGTCGTGGTATTTTAAAAAATCCCAGATAAAGGAGACACAAGACTCCAAGCCACGAGTTCACAGTGCAGGTTCAAATCGTTGTGCTAAAGGTAGTAATGAGCATACTGGTGGATGGTGTGGATCAACTCAAACTGGTTCCAATGGTATGCTGATCTCATTGTGTAAAATCACTATCTAGTACTTGTATGAGTAGCATTGCTGTGCATTTTAGTATCGCATGTTTTTAATTGTGAACTGCTTGTTTTCCCTTTGTTAGAGCCCGGTAAAGCTGCTTATAAGGGACAGAATGGGTTTGTTTCACCTCATACTTCAGCTTCTCACTTTACAGGAGGAGCCACAAGCCAGCAACCTTCATCTCAGCGGTAAGTTTAAACTGAAGTTCTAGTGTCCTCTGTTTCTTATATGAAATTAGCTGTGGGGGTGACATCATGCATGAGCCGTACATTTTCTCGAGCAATTTTGCATTTGTTGATTCAGGATAGTTTACTTCCATAACTATGCATGTACGAGGGATGGGTATTAGAATATTAGTAAGTAAAGCAAAGGTGGAGAAATGCGAAAGGATAGGAGAGGGGGAGGGGAGGGGGAAGGGACAGAGTGGGGCTGTTTTTTTCCCTCGAGTTGTTTAGTTCAGTGGTTTGAACAGGGCAGGTTTCCTTGTTTTCTTTTATTGTTTTATTAATATCATAATACCCTTCTATTATTAAAGTAACTGATGAAAGAACTAGAATCAGAAACAGTTTTAAGATTAGTCAGATCTTCTTATGTACATTTTATTACTCAATACTCATGCAAGTCATCGTTCAATATCTGCTGCAGCGAATCTTTTAGTACTTCAATAAGGCCAGGTGATGCAGTCTGTGTATCTCTACAACCTTCTACGGGAAATCAATCTACTTCCGGAACCAGCTCAGGGAATCTTTCAATGGCCGACATTGTTAAGATGGGTAGACCACCTAGCATGGGCTCACGTATTTCATCTGATACATCTTTGCATCAGGATGCATTTTCTACAAATTCATGTAATAGCCACATTGAATCTTCCCAAACAGAGATGCACCAATATATGCACTTTCATAATCCTCATGTGTCAGAGATGATGCATAAAACTGGTGATAGTGCTGGACAGAACGATTTCCATGATGAATGGCCTGTGATTGAGCAGCCAACAGCTGCAAATAGGTCATCAGCTTTAAATGCAAATCAATCTAAGTTTTATATCAATGAATCCAATGTGCCAAGGGATTACCAGTCACATAAGGTCCAACTATCAGAGGGGAATATTTGTAGCGAAAGTCTTAGTTCCGACTGCATTGCTTTTGCTTCCAGTAGACAGAAGATGGTGGATGGTTCTGGTGGAAAATCGTATTATGTTGATGATTTGTCTTCCAATTCTAGTTCCGACGAATCTCATAGGTCTGCATATGAGAATGGAAAAGGTAATTATTTTTGTGTTATATAGGTATTTGGGATGATTGTTTACTCAATTACACATACGATATAAGAGATCATTGCTAATGACATTCATGCTAGAATCTATATCAATCCAAATCATTGTATTGTAATGGATAACATATAAAAACATCATGGTTGTTATTGTGTTGGTTACATCCATGGTTGTTTGAATTGTTAGATCTATCGTCTTTGGCTGAATGAAACACGTCTCTACATTTCTGTGTCTCATTTTTGTCATTATAACCTTCTTTGGCTGCTTTTATAATTTCATGTTTTGTTCTTTTCTATGTTCTGAAAGTTTTATGACTGGTATAAGCTTAAGTTTATCTGTTACTTTTATTTGTTGACATACTACTACTTGTTTTTTTTTGCATGGTAAAAATTGCTCCTAGCACTTTGTCCTTTAACCTTCACTAAAATTGGTAATAATAGAGGAAGTTGCTTGAGAAGAGTCTAAATGTGCTTGAGTAGCCAATTGACTTTTTTTTGGCAAAATACTTTGTTTCATTTTGAAGTCCTGATACTTTTTATGTATCTAAACTCTGTTTCGGACTAGATTTGTGGAGTTGTTGATGTTATCTTCCCCCCTAGTCCTCAACCTAAAATGTGGTATTTGAAACTGAAAACAGTGGTGCTTAGGTTTGGATTTTGTTTATGAAACTGAAATGTCTTTGATGAAGGGTTTGTGATTTTTCTGGTGGTGAAAGGTTGCAAATTTACCTCCATGTCATATGGCTAAATGTTTGAAAGAAAGTAGTTTTGACTCTGAAATCTTATTATTGTTGCCATCCGGGAAGAAGTTTATGCTACCCTTTCTTATTGTCGTTCTTGTTCATTACTTTTGTGTATTTCCAGGAACTGTTATTGGTTCAAATGCGCCATATCCAAATCATTCTGCCTCTAATGATGTTGCTGTGGCATCAGCTACTATGAGAATGCAACAACTGAATTTAAGAAAGGAGGAAGATCAAGATAATTGTGCAGTAGTCCTTCCAAATAATTTGCAAGAATTGGCTGCCGATTGTTCGCATTTGAGTTTTGGCACCTTTAGACCGTCTCAAAGTTCTGCATTATCCAGCAAGCCATCTAATTCCTTGAAAAATGACTTGGGAGGATCTTCTGCAGGAGAAGCAGGAGTTGATGTTTTCTCAGCCGGGCGCTTGGATACAAGGCATGAGTTTTTCACTTAGTTCAAATCTATCATATGGTTGTAATGTCTCTTAAATTTTTGGATTTTTTTTCCTGTTCAGAAATTCAGGGTACAATCACGACGAACTTCTTGGATACATGTATAATACTGGGAGAGCAACCATAGGTGCTAAAAATTATGATTTTCCAGTACCTTCACAGCCAGATCTGATAAAACAGGATATCCTTGAAGCAACGCGTGGACATAGAGACAGCTCTACCTCATCACTACGTAATTTTAATTCTGAGAACATTGAAAGAGCAACTTCTGGATTGCCTTTTGCAAAGGCAGATCCTGAATTCAGAAATATTCCTCTTCAAAACAATATGGTAAGAGTTATATTTCTTAACTTTCTGCATTCTTTTATGCCCAACTTATAAGGAGGATTTGTTTGCTGCTGAATTATGGAAAGTGTTCATTTTTTGACTGAATTTTATGAGTAGTTACTTTTATACATTATTGCCAAATGTTGATGATTCTAATTGGTTTAGTTTTTAACCAAGACTTGTTTCTATGCTATGGAATGTTGATCTGTATACAACATTAATGATTTTCTGTCCATGGAGTTGGCTTAAAGAATTTATTACACTTTTCATGGTACCATGGTTTTCTGAGCATTTTGATGCGTTACACTTTACACATTAAGAAAAATCATGTTGGAAAATATGCACATCTACTGTCTGTTGGTGTAGCAATCCCTACTTGTAACTGCTCTGCTAATTTGCCTACTCCTTAGATGGAATTTCTAGTTGAATCTGAGTATGTTTTCAAGAAAGAGCATTTCTGGTGTTATAGCTAATCCCTGACAGATTTGTTCTCTATCCATCATCATTATCTATTATCCGATATCTCTTTTGGCTTCTTCATTGGTGTTTGCCAGTCTTGTCTAATTTTTATTTTCTTTCAGGGTTTTGAACATTGTGATTATGCATGTGGCCTGATTTCCTTGTATTCTTGTTGTTCTCTCTCACTCTCACTCTCTCCCCCTCTTGAAAAAAAATTCTGCAGGCATATTCAGATTCTATACGAAGTGATCTATTGGAGTCATTCCAACAGTTTTTGGTGAAGCCATCTGTGCCTTCAATGTACAACAGTGTAGTTTCATCCGTAAAGAACCCAACTAGTTCCATGTCCGAGGTAAGTGATGGGTGACCCCACATTGTTCAGTGCATTAAACCCCTCTTGAATTTGATGCCCACATGCAACTTATTATTATTTTTATGGAATAAATGAAATACGGCGGTGTTTGCTGATATCTGTGACATTAAACCATACAGGCTCTGAGACCAGGCACCGTACCGTTATCTGAGGTATCTTCTGTTCTTCCTCAACGCCATGCAGCCCGTTCATATGCTCAACCTACCCATTCTTACGAACAGTTAGCAAACATTATTGGGTACCCTTCCATGCCTCAGGCTCAGAACTACTCGCCTATGCCATCAAATTTGCAGCAAGAATATCTAGGTGGTAGTGCATTCCATCAGTCAGGGGCTAGCATGGAATACAACTTCCCTCAGTATAGAAGTGGAGCCTCAGTAAGCAGATTGCCTACGTCTGCTGCTGCTGCTGCTGCTGGTCATGGAAGTTTTGGGGCCTCTAATAACAATCACGGGAGTTTCTTGCATAATGCATCTGCTACTCCTGGCAGCATAGCTGACTATGATGATGTTTTCCGCCCTCAGTATAAGGATGGAAACCATTTAACCGCTCTTTATCAGGTAGAGATTGAAACGTAGAAGTAGTAAGGCGCAATTTGTGTTTGTGCATCTTATTACTTGTAATGTGCTTCAGAGCAGTAGTTCAGCATGACTTCTGATTTGATATTCACTGTTTCGGATACTGATTTCTGATGATTGGCCGTCATTTCTATGATTTTCATTTCTCCACTTTAAAGTTTCTGTTTTCTGTGGATTCCAGAGTTCAAGAACATTGCCTTCCGTTCCAGACGGTGCATTTAACAACTTACTTGGGCAGAATCAACAGCATGCAGGATATCGACAAGGGCAGGCTGGACAGCTGCCCTCCCAGTTGCAGAGTTATCGAGGACACCCAGATTTCTATCATTCCCAAGGGGACGTAACACAAGAACTTCAGCGGCAACGCCTCAATGATTTAGGCTTAGGAGGTTTCCAAGACCTGTCACCTCAGCAGTTGCACCAGATTTGGCAGGGGACCTACTAATAGAAAGTTTTTCCCTCTCTTTTTTTTCTTTCTATTTTTGTTTTCTGCAATGGGGCTTGTAGTGAGTTTGGAGTTGCCAAATTAGGGTGTCACTTTAGTTCAGAATCTACGGCGGTTCTGTCTGGCTGTCCAATTGTACATACTCTAAACGGAGAAGTTATCGTTTTTTGCCTTGTGCCTCGACGATGTATCTTACGAAACTGTTGTGGCATGAATTCTACATTCAATGCGATGACCTGCAATTTTTGTTTCTACGACTGCAGAAAGCTTAAAAGCTCGACGGAATTCTCGCTTTACCTGTTTTCTCCGGTGGATATCTTATGAAAAGATCGAGTTGGTAGATTTGTGCTTAAATATAATACATGTAAGTGTTGGAAAAGTCAGTTGGGAGGTAGGCAGTGAGAGTGATATTACCGTTGTGATATAGTTTAGTGATTAATTTTGTGGTTGGTGTCACTTAATCTTCTCCTAATTCTGGATCATTCTTTCTGGTTTGCCTCACAAAACTATTGGTAGAAATGTTGCTATTTAATCACACGTTCTGAACATATCTTCTGGTGAATCTCTTGTGACTGCAAAGACTGCGTGCTTGAACGGGTTCGCTAATGGCAGGAGGTGCAGATCTGGCGGCTCCTTCCGTTGTGTTGAAAACTGTAATTGATCGGAGACAAGATGCCGATAAAAGCAAGAGTCACCACAGGCCTGGGATTGATGCAATGCTTATGGCACCCAAGTTGCCCAAGGAAGTGGCACCGGTTCCTGAGGGGGAGACTCTTCGCCGGCCACGTGGGAGGCCAGCAGGTTCGAAGAACAAGCCGAAGCCGCCCATCATAGTCACCCGTGACAGCGCTAATGCGCTTCGTGCTCATGCAATGGAGGTAAGTTCTGGCTGTGATGTGAGTGAGAGTTTAACCAACTTTGCAAGGAGGAAGCAGAGAGGCATTTGCATACTGAGTGGAAGTGGCTGTGTGACCAATGTCACGCTGCGACAACCAGCTTCATCTGGCGCTATTGTGACCCTCCATGGCCGGTTTGAAATCCTCTCATTGCTCGGGTCAATCCTGCCCCCGCCAGCCCCTCCAGGGATCACAGGGCTAACCATATATCTTGCAGGGGCTCAGGGGCAGGTTATGGGAGGGGGTGTGGTCGGTGCGCTCATTGCTTCGGGCCCTGTGGTGATCATGGCTGCCTCGTTCATGAACGTCACTTTTGATCGCCTGCCACTGGATGAAGAGGAAGTTGCAGCGGCTTTGCAAAATCAGCAGCACCAAAACGGCCGCCACCACCACCTGGACATCTCGGATTTATATGGACTTCCTCAGAACCTGATCCCTAATGGTAATGTCCCTCCTGAGGTGTACTCCTGGGCATCCGGCCGAACCATGTCAAAAACTTAGAGTTGCAAGAAATCAAAATCTGTATTAGTAAGTGGTGATTAATATTCTGGAGATGTGCCATCTCTCCAGTAGCATTCAGCTTTATCGAAATAGTTTCGATTCCTTTATTACTGCTTGTTTTTCTTTTCATGTAACCTACTTTTAAGTATATAAATCATGTAACCATTGCAAGAGCAGCTATAAAATACAGTTGATCTACTTCACTTCTGTTCTATGCCTTTACTTTGTGCACAAATTCGGTATCTGAAAATCGCGCACGCTGATTCCGCCAATGATAGTTTGAAGTTAAAGTATCGTAACCTACCCAATTTCCGGAATAATAAACCCCAACTCATCCAACAGAGAATAGATCTCTGGGGCTTTGTGATGTAGCCTTCCACCGGCTATAAACTCATGAACCTCTCCGTCCACTTCGATCAAACTACACCCCGGTTCTTTCTCTATCTTCTGTTCCTTCATCGATAGCCTCTCCTTCATCGCTTCCTGAAACTGAGTAGAGGCAGCATAGACATTTGACATAAGAACGTAACTGCAGCTGTCGTTTGGGTCCAATTCGATCACAAGCTTTGCTGCTCGTTTTGCCATCTCAATGTTACTGTGCTTCCTACAACACGAGAGCAAGGACCCCCAAATAATGGCATCTGCTTTTACCGGCATGTTATCTATAAGCTCTTCTGCTTCTTCAAGAAGTCCTGCCCTGCCTAACACATCAACCATGCAACTATAGTGCTTTATCGAAGGTTCAATCTTATAACTTCGTGTCATTTTCGAGAGATAATCCCTTGCTTTCTCCACCTTCCCCGAATGATTACACGCTGTTAGGACCCCAAGAAAACTGACACCATCCGGTATAAAATTTGAAGTTTCAAGCCTTGAGAACAGCTCAATTGCTTCCTCCTCGCAACCATTAACGGCCAAGCCCATGATCATGGTGTTCCAACAGGACAACACTTTATTTGGGGCAGCCTCAAAAACACGAAGAGCCTTTTCGATGCTTCCACATTTGCAGTACATGTTTATAATCGCCGTGACAACAATTCCATTCATTTCAATCCCATTTTTCTTTATGTATTCATGAATCCACTCCCCTTGTCCAATTGCTCCCAACTGAGCAGAAGCATTCAACAAGCTCACCATTGTAAACTCACTAGGCCTAATCCTCTCCTTCTGCATTTCACCAAAAAGTTCCAATGCCTCTGCATACTTCCCATTCCTAACAAATCCGCTAGTCATTGAATTCCAAGAAATCGAATTCCTCGAAGGCATCTTATCAAACAGCCTCTTGGATTCACTCACTTCACCACATTTGGAAAGGCCCATGATCATAGAATTCCATGCAACACTGTCACATTCCAAGTCCTCATCAAACAGTTTTCTTGCTTCACTCAGAAACCCACAATTTGCATACATGTGTATAATCGTGTTTCGCGTAAATTCATCGCCTTCGAGACCCAATTTTATAACTCTTCCATGAAGCTGAGCTCCGTCTTCGGCAAGGCCAACTTGAGAATAAGCCTTGAAAACTGAAGGGTAAGTCAATCTCTGTGGCTCAATTTCTGAAGCTACCAGCATTTCAATGAAAAGAGAGATTGCAGTTTTCGGGTTTTGGCTTGCGGAGAAGCCTCTGATGATGGTATTCCAAATGAAGGGGTTTGGCTTTTTTATGTGTCGGAAAACCATGTAGGCATAGTTGATGTCTCCGGCTCGGCAGGCAGAGAAGGCCAGGACCCGGCTGGCGACGACCGTGTCCTTGGTTAGGCCAGTTTTGAGGAGGTGGGCGTGGATCTTTTGGAGGTCTTTCATGGAGGTGCATTGATTTTCTAGCATGGAGAGGTGTGGATTTTCTGAGATGAATTTGGATATGGAGGTAGAAGAAGTGAAGGAGCAACAGCATGGGGTCATATTTCTTGTGGCTCTTGTCTTCTGTTTTTTGAGCTGCATCTAATCCTCTTGTGGTAGTATAATGTGCAAAGAGTAAAATTTGTAAGAAATGCTAGTTGAACATTGAGGGCTTGGTACTTGTGGTCGTAGCCCAAATTTCTTCCATGGACTTGATGGTACACTATAGTTATGGGCCAATCTTCTTTCTTTTTTGTTTGCTAGGGTTGGTCGATCGGCCATTCACAGCAGCGTATGATGTACATTTCGAAACTACTCATATCATAATGCTTATATATTGTCATATCGTGGGTTCAAGTCATTGATTTGTTCAAGCATTTCTCACATCAGAAACCTTATGAAGTTAAATTTATTTGTATTGAATGATTTTAGTACTAACTTTACCAAAGCTTTTTGTACAAAGAAAACCCACAATTATTGGACGACAAGTGGTTAAATTAAGAGCGATATTGATGTTGATTAGTAATATTGAAGCATCGACTTAAGTTGATTTTTGACAAAATATTTAATCTAAAATTACAGTATGACAACATAAACATTTATCTGGATTTTTAAGTCTAGCTAAAAAAGATTATTACTCTCTTACTAAACTCATCTGCCACCCCCGATGGTTTCTTTCTAGTTTGTTTATGGCAAAGTAAACAGAAAACGTCCCTTGCAAGTGTGGCTTTTGCTTAACATGACCCAGCACTACGGTAAAGCTTGACCTTTGTGCAAGGTATTAGGATCATTGTCAAAGATTTAGGCACACAAATACAAGATTTGTCGGTAAACATACTTATCATAGGCTGCTTATAGCATGATTAAAGACTAATAAGATCTTAGCCTCCTGTAATTTTATACTTAATAGTCTCAATCAAAGACATTCTCACCACTCATCTACAAATGGGGATTATGGTAGTAACAATCTTTATTTGGAACCAAAGCATAAAGCAAAAACTTTGGATTAATAAATTAATCCACATAGGTATATTTCGAATCCAATTGGTCAAAAGTGCAAGCCATAGGAGAGGATTTTAGACCGTCCACTTTAAGGACTTATTTCACCAATCCAGCTCACTTTGTTCATACATGGTGCCCCACATAAAGATCCATAATACACACACACATATATTTTGTAACTGAAACGGCAAATAAGGGCTAATTAGATCATTATTTAAGCTAACATTTTCTCTACACTATTTAGAAGAACAAAGGTTTTTATTTTTGTGAGTTTGATGATGTATTTACATGAGTCCAACGAATTTTAATCGTGTGTTTTAGTATATAAATAAATAGCATATATTGTATCCGATCAATCGTAAAATTATACATGTGAAATTTTATGCTATCTTCAAGATGTTTTTCTGGTAGCAACCCAAACCAAAATGCTTTAAAAAAAAAAAAAAAAAAAATCATCCCAACCACCAAAAAAAAAAAAACCTGATTGACACTTTTGGTAATTTGGGTACATCCATACTAGATGGTTATTTCTTTTAATTTGATCGATACTAAGGGATGAATCGGGTGCTTATCCACTTAAGGTATAAGTTTTTTGTTAATCTTATTATTATTTTTTTTAATTTGAAGAGTTTATTTTCAAAGCTGAATTTGTAATACTACCCTCTCTCTCCTACCGTAAACAAGTTATATTAACTTAGAAGACATGTTCTACAACACCACACTTGCAAAGCTGCAATGTTGGTTGGTTGGTTGATGGTTACTCAGATAAAATGTTGTCAAACTTCAAAAAGAAGAGGCAGAGAAAAAGGAGAAAGGCAAAATGCACACATAACCACCATCATTACAATCATCACTTAACAGCCACAAACCCAAAACTAAATTCCAAACAATTCCTCTCACCTCTTGTCCTTTTTCCTCAACCTTCTTCTCTGCCCTACCATTTGCCTCCTTTTTCCACCCCTCCCTCCCTCCCCCGCTTCCGCCTCCCTACACCTACACCTCTCTCTTATACATATATATGTGTGTGAGTGTGTAAAAATATTTTTCAAGTGTATAACAATTGAGACAAAGGGTACAAAGACCTTCTTTTCAACAACATCGTTGATGCTTCTCTAGTTTAAGTATTATTTGCTCCTCTTTCGTTCTTTCTTTCTTTCAACCAACCAAACAAAGTAGAACTAGATTAGATCAGAAGAAGCAGAAGAAGAACAAGTCATCAAAGAGAAGAAGAAGAAGAAGAAGAAGAAGAAGAGGAGAAGTAAGCAGAAGAAGAACAAGAAGAAGAAGAAGAAGTAGAAGAAAGTAGAAGTAAGCAAAGGCACCAAATGGGTGGAAGGTTTATTTATCCTATAACTCTAATCTCCTGCTTGTTACTCCTATTGGGTATTTTCTTCTGTTCAGGTGACTTCCTTTGTCTTGATGTGAACTTTGAGTTGCATCCTTTACAATTTTATATTTGGTTTTTCTTGTTTATGATTTGCTATGGCAGCATCTATCATTCTGTTTTGTCAATTAATATATTTGGTCATAATACCATTTGCTTCTTTTTCTTTTTTTTCTTTGTTTCTTTCTGCTTTTGACAAGTGAATTTTTATTCTTTCCCTCTTCCCCATCCACTTTCGGCTCGCTAATCATCCATGTCTGCATTCGAATATCTTTTTCTGGGAGTTTGGATTGAGAGATATGAAATTTTTATGAACATATGTAATGTCCTAGCTCAGAATTGTATCATTTCAAATGTGGCTCTTGTTCTTTGTTCATAATTTGTTGCTTTACAAATAATGCTGCTTATCAATTGTACTCTGTTTATCATTTTTCTTTCTTTAAGTTAGACATATTCTTTTTGTGGATGAAAAAGTCCATTAATTTTTCACCCTTCTAGATATAGTTTTTTTTCAAGATGCTATCTCCTTTTTCTTTTGCTTGTTTCCTCAGTCAAAGTAGGGGTCAGAGTACTATCTAATTTTCAAATTTTCATGATGGCTAAGATCAATTTAAATTTTCCCTCTTATAGCTTTTACTTTGTATTTATTTTAAATTTCTTGGGGTGCTTGGATAGGATAACACATGTAATTTAAGGTATGCACGAAGGTTATTGTGATTAATTTTGTATTTTGGAAGGATTATAAGAGATTAAATATAAAGGAAACTTATTTCTATTGATCCTACTAATTTGTGAGGATAGTAAGAAAAAAGGTTTTTTTTTTTTTTTTTTTTTTTTTGCGAATCATCCACCTTCTATCTTTAAATTGGACAAAATTTATTCTTTTTTTTTTTTTTTTTTTTCCAACATACCTTGAATATGATGAATTATCTAATCCAATCATAGTCTCCAAACCTGTCCCAGTGGAAAGAGATGTCATCTCACTCAGATAAACATTTTGCTACCTTTTTACTTCTTTAGTTCCTTCGAGCATTTACATGATGGGATGTGCTATCCATACACACCATTTTACTTTTCACACATCTCTTGATAATTTATGTCTGTTGATTTTTTTCAATTCATCTGATCCGACGGTCGAAAATTAAAAAGGTGTGTGAGAAGTAAAATAAGGTGTATGGATATCACATCCCTTACATGATTACATTTTGAAAACAGCAGTCTTTCATCTTGGTAAGACGGTAACACCCTATACTGCAGTAAAGTCACTGAACTTTTCAGTTTTTACCATCTTCTTTAAAGTCCAAACAGAAAACTTTATTATTTACCCCTATTTCCAAATTTAAGGATCAATTGTTCAACTAGTTGTGATGGCTTGTGAAACTATTGGTTTATAGGGCTGTGATTTTATTTTGGAACCTGGAACCACAACCCAATTCAGATTTGGCACCGTTCTTTCAATGCTCATAAAGTGCAGAATACAAAAAAAGTAAAGCTTACTGTAGTTTTGATTTTTCTAGTACAGGTTTGAATGTGACAAAAAAGCAAAAGAACATTGGACACGTCAAAGAAAAAGACCAAGAAAATAAAGGGCTGAAATTCCCTGAAACCCTAATTTCCACCACCCAGAGAGACATCACTACTCCAATAACAACAGTTCCTACTATAACTCCCACAAATCCCGCTTCATCAACACCAATTCTGAACCCTAATTCCAATCCAGCTGATTCAACTGTCCCTGTCACATCCTCCCCTAGCATGACCCCATTTACTACAACAACACCACCATCATCACCAGCATCCACTGGTTCAAGTTGGTGTGTTGCTAGCCAAAGTGCATCACAAATGGCATTGCAAGTTGCTTTGGACTATGCTTGTGGCCATGGTGGCATTGATTGCTCAGAAATTCAGCCGGGACGAAGCTGTTACAACCCAAATAGTATCCGGGATCTTGCTTCTTACGCATTCAATAACTATTATCAAAAGAACCCAGTTCCAAATAGTTGCAACTTTGGTGGAACTGCTATGATCACTAGCACTGACCCAAGTAAGTCACCATTTTATACTACCGTTTGTAAACTCTATGTCATACTGCAAGGGACTTGTAGCTCAAGTTTTTAAAACCGTCTATCTTTGCACCCGAGATCCTGTTTTCAATTAAAAAGATTGTCACGCTTTTCTTCTTTCCTTCTAAATGATCTCTGGTTTTGCTACAATGTTCTCAGGTACAGGGTCTTGTCAATATCCGTCTACTAGGTAATTTACTCTCTCATGTTTTGGTACCACCTTTTTCATTTAGAAAGATAAAAATTAATATTTGTATATTCACATTGCGTCTGCAGCACAAGTTCATCAGTCTTGAACACAACAAATACTAGTGGCTCAACTGTGTTTGGTGCGGTCCCTTCAGGCCCTACCACCTCAGCAGCAACAGTAGATGCAAACACACACAGCCTGCAAAATATTTTGTTCATCATGGCATGTTTGATGCTGTTTTTGCGGCCTAATTTTAAGTTGAGATGAATCTTGTAATAGATATGCCATTCTTACTGAGGAGAGAGACCTAGGTAGAGAGAGAGAGCATATGTGATGGATTGTCACGCCTCGGACCTCGGGTCCAGAGCGTCTCATGAATTCTTGTAGGGCTGCAGCCATAAGGGTTTTTGTTTAGTTTGAGAGCAGCAACATATATACATAATGAAACAATCTTGTACCATTTGTAATTAAGGAAAGCTAATGAAAAGAATTTGAAAACTTTGAGTTTTAACTATAAGGACAAAATAAAGGGTAAAATAAATAATACCAGGATTAAATTTTTAGTGTAAAAAATATGGTTTTTCGTTAAAGTAAATAGTACCGCAAACTTTTCGTTAAAACTCACTTGTAATTAAGGGGAATAGAAATTTTGATTGGACCTTGGATGATGGTATGGTTAACGGCCTTCGCTGGTTTGGGCTTTGATCTAGAGTCTACACCAGTAACCACCTTCAATAAACTCCTCAAAACCATTTTTCATTTTGCAACATAAATTTTGGGGCGTGGTCATAGACTCATGAATCTTGTACTTCCTATGGTGCTATCATTATATTGACAAATTAAAAAAAACACAATATTGATCAAAAAATTAAAACACAAAATTAACAAAAGATCAACAAATGCATTTATTATTACTATTTTCTAAAAACTATTCATCCATGCACCTGAGGTCCTGTATTCTCATTCTTCCTCGCCCAATTTCGCTCGAGTCAAAAACAAAAATCCGTAATACCAAATAATCTACATATCCTTCATTGCTTTTCCATCAGATACAAAAATAGGTTAGGTACATACGTAATTCTTTTCTTTGCCCACTTTTAATATAATTGTATGTGGAGCACATGGGATTGGGGGGACCCCTAAACATATACAAACCAATGTCCACTCATATTTGCTTCATCTCATTATTCTGTCTTGGTTCTTCGTTTCTTATACATCAATCACTTTGTTTCCTTTTTCCTTTCCTTTCTTACATTTTCTCTCTACAATGGAGGACCAACAATCCCTCTTCCAACCCCTCATCCATGGAAAACCAGTAAACCCTATTTTAGAAAACGACCATACTATTTATGCGTCGAATAGTGGTATCCTCATTCGTTTTCTCTTATCGGACTACTCGCAATCTATGCAAACCACGAAGCATCCGAAGGGTTTGACATAAGCATTGTAAACGATGCCAAAGACTCTATCGCCTGCCGACGCTTCGACCTCCTCTACATCTTCAATGACAAAGCCACCCGCATTATCCTCGACGCTAGCAAGTTTGTCGAACACATTTTTTACTCTGACGACGATCATTATCATCATCCCAAGAAGCACGTAAACCAAGTCGTTTTGAAGCTTTCTAGCATGAGCTCGGCTTCATCTAACATTGGTGAACAACTTTGTATGGCACAAGTACACCGATATTGGAGTCATTGTCCACTTCTAGCCCAACAAAGAAGTTGGCCATTTTTTCCTTCAAATAAGGCCTTCAATCATGGAACATGCCAAACATGCATTGGACTTGGTCATCCTACGTGGCATGACACGCGTCTGGATATGGAACGGCGAGGCCCGCGCTCCATTGGAGCTTAGGTCGCGTTTGGTACGCGGGACGGGACGGAACAGAGTGGGACGAGGCGTTCCGTCCCGCGTTTGGTGCGCCTAAAATGAGTGGAACGCGCTGTTCCACGGAACAGATTTTGGATGATTTTTTGTTCCACACCCCCACCCTGGAACGGGTTGTTCCACGTCTGTGGGACAGAAATTTCCAATATTTTTAGACAAAAATGCCCTTGGTCTTTTTCAAAATTTACAACTTCAAAATCAGTTTACAAACCCTAAAAACAAAATCTCTTCTTCTCAGCCGTTTCTCTTCGCCTCTACAGCCCTTTCCCCTTCGCAACACCTTCCTGCTCATCTTCTTCTGTACAGCCTCACAACCTTCCTCCTCGTCCCCTTCGCAACCTTCCTCCTCGTCCTCTTCCGTGTAGCAGCTCTGCGAACTTGGTGGTCCTCAGGTATCTCTCTCTCTCTCTCTCTCTCTCTCTCTCTTTCCTCTGTACGGAGGATTTGCATTTTGGGTTGCAGACCCGGTGCCTCGGGGCAGACGGTGGTAACTCCCTCCCCTCTCAAAAATCTCTGATCGAAGGTACGATTTTCATTTTAATTTCGAATTATTGAACCCGTTTGCTTTCCAGAAGTCGGAGGTTAGATTCTCAATTTCTCGTTGTTGAATCTCGATTCTGGTGTGCCTCTTAATTTCCTAGGGTTTCTTTCTGCGAATTTATTATTTATTTGTACTGCGATTTTATGGTTTTTTATGCTTGTATCGTTCTTATCTCGTGTTGTTTGGGGATTAGAAAAAAAATTGATTTTGATGGAAGTCGGAAATTTTAGCCCTGGGTCGGCAATTTTTGAGCCGTTAGGTGCCCAAAAATTGGGACTTTTAAGTGGAAATTGAAAATTTCAGTTGCAAATGATCAATTTTCTTGATGGATTATGATTTGATTTCTGCTTTAGTAGAAGGCCCTTTGTTTGTTGTGAAAATGTGATCACTTTTTGGTCACAGAGTTGGATGAAATGTGTGATTGCAATTAGGATTTCCAATTCATTCAGGTTACGGTCAATTTCCATACTGTGTTTTGCCACTAGGGTTTTCGATTCTAGATTCTTTGGCCGAGGTCTTTTAGAACTGAATACATTGTAGTGAGAGTTTGGTTAGTCGTGCTGGTTTGAGGCATGGAACTGAAGCACTAGTCTTTTTGGTAGGTTAACGAAGTTAAACAATGAATCATAATCAAACTTTTGTTTTATCATTCGTTGGCATGGTTCAGCACAGTTTATTGTCGGCTTGTTTGATATGAAAATTGTAGGAAAGGAAATGGGCTGATAGAGCATAGTGTCATGTCCTTTATTGCTTTGGTTTGAAAATACTGAAGTATGTTATTATTGTTTCTTCTGTTTTATAATTCTTCATTTGATTTCCGACAAAGTGAATCATGTATTTGAATAAGATTACTTCATTTCTTAAAAAAACTGTAGGTTTTAAAATCTTCAACTTGGATACAAGATTTAATATAACATGAGCACTCGGGGGGCCAGGGCGCCACATGCAAGAGGGCGGCGAAGAAAGAATGAGTTGAACTTGGACCTCAATAGTGCCCCACCTGGTGACAGTCGGGAACAGGAGGGAACTTCAACTCAGTCAGTGCCTCAGAATAATCAAGCGACTTTGCAAGTTCAGCCCATACCACCTAATACGATTGATGTTGAGGCTATTGATGATGATGTTATTGAATCCAGCCCCACGGCTTTTGCTGAGGCATGCTTATATTAATTTTACACATTCTTTTATTGCGAATTTCTCCATCCACTTAAGTGTATTGAAGAAAATGTTGTGATATTTTATGTTTTGCAATTTTTCAACTGTATTAAATCATCTATTCTATATGGTGGTCTAGTGAAAGAACTTTGAGTTAGAATCCCAACCTGCATCCATTTGATTCGAGACCTAGTTAAAACTTCTTTTCTCTTTCTTTCAATTTGTTAATACACTCTATCAAGGCCTTAATCTGCTCACCATGTTCCTCCCAATTATCATGGAGGCAACCCAAATACAAATTCGAATGGAGGTGTAGAAAACGGGAAAAATTACAAATTTTAAAGGGGTTTGCATGTGAAACACAACATATACCTATTAAAATTTGGACCAAGAAAAACAAATAATGGATAATAGTGTTCAAATTTGAACAACTTATTAAAATTAAAAAAAAAAAAAAAAAAAGAGTCATGTCCCGTTCCGCCCATAAAATTGTACCAAACAACAGCGGAACATGGGTATTTTAGTCATTTTAATCTTTTGGTTCCGTTCCGTCCATGTGCTACCAAACGCAGGACGGAACAACCGTCTTATTCCGTCCTGCGCGTACCAAACATAACACAGAACATCTGTTCCGTCCCGTCCCGTCCCGTTCCGTCCCGTCCCGTCCCGTCCCGTTCCGTCCCGTCTGCGTACCAAACGCTACCTTATAGACGGCATGGTGGAGTACACAAGGATGGTGGCTGGACGTTCATTTGGTCACATGCAAAGTTACGGCACAGTCACTGGCACCAAACAACCGGAGTGTGACAAATTCTGGTGGAAGGGCAAAGACCCTGAAGCGGTGGCGCAATGTCATCCAACGATTAAACGGGGCTGTGAAGGACAAGTGGCACGATCAGATGGTGGCTGATGCATTAGCAATATTTTTGTGGATCATATAGATTTTCTAATTACAGCTTTTGAGAGTCGGTGGATTTAAATTTCAGTGGGTGTTTTGTTTTCTATTCTTCTTGGTGTTATATATAGTGGAATCCGGATCCTCGGCAGATCTTCTTTGTGAGGATCCTAGAGATCCGTAAATCATATCCGTTTATCGTACATTGTACGATTAGAAATTATTTTAAATATTTTTATTTAAAATTAAATAGAAACAGTATCTGATAAAAACTAATCGCACGATGTACGATAAATGGATACGATTTACGAATCCTAGAATCCTCACCAAAATGATGCGAAGAAGATCCTGTTGAATATATAGTGTAGCATGATTTATAGTTGAGCTGTCACATTATTATTGATCCATGCATGATGCAAACGCCCACAGGTCTGGTGTCTCTAAATTTTGTGTCTCTTTAGTGTATCTTCTCTAATTACTTGACATGTCTTCCAACTTACTAAAAGGTTAACGTTGTTAACTTCATTATTTTGATTATTTTGTATCGGAAATTAAAACCAAAAACCCAGAAATACCAAGGTAGAGTAAACGCCAAATTCTTTAGTTTTACCGATAGCCATTGAATCACCCAAATCCACGACCAGCCCACATCGCCGACGACAACTCCGTATATTCATAGACGCCAACCAAGTCTCCTTTCTCTTTCTCTCTCCCCCAAGATTTCATATGGATTCAACCATCAAAGGAGGAGGATGTTTTGGCTGGGATTTTGCATTATAATGATAGTGAAAGAAACTGGAGAAGGAGGATGTTGGATTCTAATGAGGGACTTGGTGGTGGCCTTGTTGTGGGATGGATAGTTTGGTTTCTAATCAGGCCAGATGCTCACGGTCGGAGGATTCGAGTGGATGTTTCCTCGACGGATCTGCAAACGATGGTTGAAATTGAGTCGATTCGTGTGCCTAGAGAGATTGGAGGGGGATGATGTTTTCTTGGCCGTGAAACTGGAGGGGTAGGATGTTTTTTCGGCTGTGAGACTAGAGGAAGGGGATGTTTTCTCGGCGGGGTTGCGGTGGGTGTGCCCGGAGGATTTTTGGAAATTCTCCTTTTAATGAAATAAATAATAAAGTTAACCATATTAAGTTGAAAGACACGTGTCAAGCAATCAGAGAAGAGATATTGAGGAGACATAAAATTTAGAGACACCAGACCTAAAGCCGATGCAAACAGACAAAACATTAGTAGATTGAATCACGTGGACGCCTTTGTTTCCATCTCTCCCATTGTGTGGGCAATTGCTTTGTTTCCATCTCTCCCATTGTGTGGGCAATTGCTTGTCCATAATTTGGTTTGGCCAGTTGGGACCTAATTGGATAAACAATTTTTCTCTCTTTGTATATAAGGATTAATGTTTTATAATTAGAATGGCTAGTTATATATTTAGGGGAGTTTTCTTATTGAAATGACTTCCCATACTATTTTTTTTCCCTGTATACCTCCTTATTTTTTCCTTGAGGGGCGACCAGGGTTCATCTTTTGTTTCTTTCCTGGGCATTGGCCCGAGTTATTGCTTTGACGTTCTTTGACCAGTCCAACTACGACTTTCATATCACTATTTATTATTTCGCTCGTCATTTTCTAATTGACTATTATTTATCAAATTCATTTGGTGCCCTTCCCATATTCTAGAGTTTAACATGATGTTTTTCTAAAGTATCGAATTTAATACGAAATTCTTGATTAATAATAAGATAAGTATATTTTTGGGGGAACTCCATAGAATAGATTTATTGCATCGGTTACTAAAATAGTTTTCTTCAAAGTGTAATATAATCAAGAGAATTGTTATTAGCATTTTAAAAATCTAATTATACATTCCTCACAAGTGCATTTTTTTTCTAATTATAGAAAGTTCAAAATGCAAATGATTTTTTTTTGTGTGCCAATAACAATTTCAATTCGATACTTTTTGTTTTCAAAAAAGAAAAAAAAAACTTTTTGTTTTGTTATCTCATCTCCTTCATTTCTTGTCTAAGTTGTAATGCAATAAAAGAAAAGAAGGATAATATGGTGCAGATAAGAGTAGCTCAAGTTGTTCAATTGTTCGTCAACTACGAAAACATAAATAGCAGCTCGAAGTCACCATCTCAAATTGTCAAACGTTTCCAGTCTAACCTAATTCAACTACAAAAAGAAAACGTGTGAGAACCTTGTGTCGACCAATGTGCATGCGTACCATCTGTTTTCTTTAGATCTTCGTCCCCAAGATTAATGATTCCTATGATAAGCCCTCTGAAATTTTATGACTGTTACGTTTACATCTCATTCATTGCAAGCACAGAACATTCCTCAATACCAATGTATTTTGTTTGTACATTAATCAAGTACATGGCCATGTAAAACAAAATGAATTGTATTAATTTGTGTCTTTTTTTTGAAATGTATCTCTATGTCATAATAGAGATAGAGTCCGTCAATATAGATAGATCTTATGACATTTCTCTTTACCATTACTTCGATACTTGATTAGTTAATTTCACATAATCTTTACTCGAGAAAAGGACGTGAAAGATAGGAATATGTATATCATTAGGTTAAAACAACAGTAATAAGAAAAGAAGAAATTGAATTCAAATAAAGAAATAACAATCTGCCAGTAATAGTGGTATCTAACAAAAAATTACCATATACAAAATCAAAGCAAATGGTTTCCTAACCACCTTAACAAAGAAGAAACTAAATAAATATAATCAAATCCGTCCATGAATTTTAAGAAAAAAAAGTTTAATTATATGAAAATTAAGGCTTCTTTCTCTTATTATCGGGGACAATTCCTTCATTCCCAGCCAGCATCAAATACTTATCCCTCCTTGTAAGAGAGGTGCACTCAAAACCCAAAGCATCAGCCAATTTCCTCTGGATGTAATTAGCAACTTCATTGCTAGACTTCCCCCCAGCACAAGTAAGCTCTTTTGGGAGCTTCCCAAGAACCTCAACGTAATATGCAGGCCTAGGGTTCATCAGGAAGAAAATTGGGTCCAAGCATTTTAATCCACTGGCTGTTGTCCCATAAAACATGCTCACATTTGTGTTGATAGCCACTGGCACAATCTCATCAGCCAGTTCTGCAAACAATGAGCTGAATCTCAGCAAATATGGCTCTCGACACGTTGTTCCTTCAGGGCAAACGACCAAATCTCCTTCACTAAGTAGCCTCTCCATGGTTTCACCGTCTTGTTTTCGGTCTCTTGTTAACCGGACGGTCTTGATGGGCGCTAAGATTTCGGACATTTTGCTCAGGCTGTATGTGACTGCAGTTAAAGGCTTGCGTAAAGCTGTACTGAGGAAAACTGGGTCCAGTAGGGTTCTGTGTGTGCAAACATAGAGGACTCCCGTTTTTTGTGGGTTTGAAGAAGTGGAGTTTATGCAGCCTTTGACTGAGAGATTGACACCTGTCCAGGAGGCCAAAAATAGGGCAATTTCGTAGGGGAGGATGATGCCAACTGAGATCCTGAATATGGATAGGATTATTCCAATAGGGAGCCACAAAAACATGGCTAGGGTTGCAGATGGAGTAGGCAAGAATGCTAGCCTTCCATCATGAAATATTACTGGCTTTGGGTGCTTGTGCCTAGGCATTGCTGATTTTGCACCACTCTTGCTGTCTTCCTTGTTCACTACATAGGCTTCCTGTTGCAATTATGTGGGTTAATAACACCAAATGGCGGTGTGATCATGCCATCACATTTTAAAACTTCTCATAATGTTCTAATTAACTTTTCATAAATGTACATAGTAGACTCAAATACCAATGCATGGTAATACATACATGTACGGTATCTAGGCCAAAATAATATTATTCTTGCAAACAAGGAAATTCAATTAATTTGTGCAACATCTCCCATTAATTAGAGGAATGAAAGGGGGATTCTTCTTGGGTTATTTTAGATAAAAATTACATGATGGAAATTGGAAAGTGGGAAAAGGATGTAATTTGTGAAAATGATTTTCTAATGCATTATGGGTTAGGTGTAAGATTATGCCTAAAAAGGCAAAATACATGACAATTTTTATTAGAAATAATTTCTTTTATACAAGCAATATTAG